ATACAGAGATAGTTGTTTAAATTGTGTGGAGGATATACAGAGATAGAAGTTTAAATTGTGTGGAGGATATACAGATATAGAAGTTTCAATTGTGTGGAGGATATACAGAGATAGTAGTTTAAATTGTGTGGAGGATATACAGAGACAGTTGTTTAAATTGTGTGGAGGATATACAGATATAGTAGTTTAAATTGTGTGGAGGATATACAGAGATAGTTGTTTAAACTGTGTGGAGGATATACAGAGATAGTAGTTTAAATTGTGTAGAGGATATACAGATATAGTAGTTTAAATTGTGTGGAGGATATACAGAGATAGTTGTTTAAATAGTGTGGAGGATATACAGAGATAGTTGTTTAAACTGTGTGGAGGATATACAGAGATAGTAGTTTAAATTGTGTGGAGGATATACAGAGATAGTTGTTTAAACTGTGTGGAGGATATACAGAGATAGTAGTTTAAATTGTGTGGAGGATATACAGAGATAGTAGTTTAAATTGTGTAGAGGATATACAGAGATAGAAGGAAGGAGTTATGAAATGAGAAAGATCTTACTGGGAATAGCTGAGGAGGTTATTCTAAGGATAATGTCAAAGCTAAGAGTGAGGATTTTGTTAAGTATGTCAAAGGTAGAAAGTTTTCTTTGAGATGGAAGAGTTAATAATGATAGAAGATGTTAAGATATTCCTGACTCTGAGATTGACCTCTTGACCTATTGATGGTAAGAAGAAAGGTTAAAAATAGATAAAACACCAGAACCAGACAGGTGTTTTATCCCAGGATTTTAATTAAAAGAGGGCAAATATCGGATATTGCTAGATCAACAGATAATTTGGAGGTGACTGAGGATGGACAGTTGATAGTGTTTGGACAGTTAATAGTGTTACTCCTGTTTCAAAACGTGATAATAAGAGTTGACCAGAAAATTATTGACCTTTTAGTGTTATTTCTGCAAAGGAAAACATTCTAGAAACCTGATAAAAGAAGCTTAACATGATTATTTAATGAAATGTGAAATCCTATGCCTAAAACGAAGCCAAATAAATAATAAAATGGCCGTTAATTAGAGAACAGGAAACTAAGAATTCTGTCGATTTAAGGTCAGCTTCAAATTACCAGTTACAAGACTTTCACCAAACCTCGTTCACTTTAGTCTTGTTCTACTTACTGTTAAAAAAAAGTTGTCGGTTCAAATTGAAACATTACACTCCGCCTGTACGTAATTGCTTGTTTGTCTTCCCTGGTCAGCCTTATTGGACTGTTTTTTTGTTGTTTTTTTTCGTGGATACAACTTACTCTTCATCATTTGGCAGCAAGGATGTGAAAACATATAAACCTTGAGAGTTAAATCTAAATTATTTTAACCTAGAAAAATATTTCAAGGTACTTTTTGATCCTGTTCATATACCGTGTCTAAGAGTTTGTTTGTTTGTTGTTACGTGCAAAGCTGTATAGTGGGCTACCCGCACTGTGCCAACCGCTGGGACCGAGCCCCAATTTTGGCATACAGCAGAAGTTACCTAAAAGAGAAGTTAACCTGCTTAACTTTAATTTAAAACTGCGACAGGAGTTACCTGTTCAACTTTAACTTAAAACTACGACTGGAGTTAACCTGCTTAACTTTAACTTAAAACTACGACTGGAGTTAACCTGCTTAACTTTAACGTAAAACTACGACCGGAGTTAACCTGCTTAACCTTAACTTAAAACTACGACAGGAGTTAACCTGCTTAACTTTAACGTAAAACTACGACTAGAGTTAACCTGCTTAACTTTAACGTAAAACTACGACCGGAGTTAACCTGCTTAACTTTAACTT